GCGGCCGGTCAGGTGCTCCGGGCGGGTCCGGACTCCCGAGACTCGAGTTTCCTTCCTCTTTTCATTCTTAAGTCTTAGCCTTCCCTCCAGCTACTCGGTGTACCCGCGGGTCCTTTTTAAAAATTGGGGTGACATCCCCGCTCTTACCACTCGCTGGAAGCCCTGGCCGCAGCAATCAGACAGGAAGAGGGAAAGGCATCACCCCGGGAAAGGAGGAAGGGAAACCGTTATTCGCAGGTGATGGGGTATCGTTCCTAGAAAGCCCCAAAGCCTCCACCAGAAAACTACGAGACCCCAGTGAGTTTGGCAGCTTAGCGGGTTACAGAATCAACACCCCAAAAGCGGTGGCTTTTTAAAAAACAAACCAATAATGAATTCTCAGAAAGAGAAACTAAACAATCCCACTTACTATTGCAACAACAACAACAAAAATTATGTAACTTAGGAATAAACTTAACCACCTAACCGGTTTGGCTCAGTGGATAGAGCGTCTGCCTGCGGACTGAAGGGTCCCAGGTTCGATTCCGGGCAAGGGCGTGTACTGTGGTTGCAGGCACATCCCCAGCAGGGAGTGTGATGGAGGCAGCAGATCGATGTTTCTCCCTCATCAATGTTCCTAACTCTCTATCCCTCTCCCTTCCTCTCTGTAAAAAAAATCAATAAAGCCCTGACCAATTTGGCTCAGTGGCTAGAGCGTCGGCCTGTGGACTGAGGGGTCCCGGGTTCAATTCTGGTCAAGGGCATGTACCTTGATTGCGGGCACATCCCCAGGGGGGTGTGCAGGAGGCAGCTGATGGGTGTTTCTCTCGCATGGATGTTTCTAACTCTCTATCCCTCTCCCTTCCTCTCTGTAAAAAATCAATAAAATATGTTTTTAAAAAAATCAATAAAATATATATCTTAAAAAAAAGAGAAACTAAACAATCCCATGTACTACTGCAACAACAACAAAAATTAAGGAACTTAGGAATAAACTTAACCAAGGCGGTAAAAGATCTGTACTCGGAAAACTACAGGATGCTGGAGAAAAAGAGATAGAGGAAGATAAACACTAGTGGAAGAATATACCGTGTTCATGGATTGGTAAAATTCACATCATTAAAACGCCCGTACTCCCAAAGCAATCTGCAGATTCAATACAATCCCCATGAAAATACCAACAGCATATTTCACACATCTAGAGCAAATACTCCAAACATTTATCTGGAACAAAAAAAGAACCCCGCACGGCCGCAGCAATCCTGAGAAAGAAGAACAAAGTTGGAGGAATCACAATACCAGATCTCAAGTTACGCTACAAAGCCACTGTAATCAAGACAGCCTGGTACTGGCACAAGAACAGGCATATAGATCAATGGAACAGAACAGA